TTGTGTTCCACGTCGGTCGTCTCGGAACAGCCTTTTGTTTCTGAACATCATCCTCAAGTCACAGCTGAACCCATCTCGGCCTACTCCACCCCGATTTCTGGCACCATGCCTTATATCTCCACAGAGACCCTCGTCGGCGCAGCACTCCTCGTGCTCGTCGTCATCGGCATCCAACATTACCCCACCTCCACTTCCGCTCCCGCGACTTCGAGCTCCACGACGGGCAAGGCGAGCAAGAAGAAGTCCAAGAAGAAGAAGGGGGGAGCCGGGGGCGGTGCAGATGCTGTGGATGCGACCAGCGGGCCCCCAGAAGCCCCCGCTCCCGCTGTGAATGGAGACGAGGCGAAAGCGGAACCGAAGAAGAAGTTGCTTGCGGAGAAGCTGTTGCCCAAGCAGCGGAAGACCAAAGTCGACGAGTGAGTATCGCACCATACACAGAATTACAACACATGTTACTCACACGGGTTCTTCCAGCATGCTCGCCCCGGAAGATCGAGCTCCCACCATCGCCCGCGTGATGAAGGTGACCCCTTCCGCATCTTCCAAGCCCCAGGCTTCCGCCTGGGCCCCCATCCCCTCCCCCGAGCCTGTCTCTCTGGCACCTCCAGCGGGGACCTCTGCTCAGCCTTTGGGGAAGCCCATTGCGTCTCCTGAGCAGAAGGTTGCCAAGTTCGAGGACGACTATGCATCGGCCTCGGAGCCGGAGGAGCCTGCGCCTGCGCCTGTGAAGGGCAAGGGGAAGAAGAAGGATGATGAAGGCTGGGATGTCGTCGTGTCCAAGAAGAAGAGTGAGTTAGATGTTCCCATGGATTCATGTACCGTACTGATCTGATGAGAATCTCTCACCCTCTCAGAGCCCATCTCGGTCAACATCGGCTCGTCCTCGCAGCCCCAGCCTCAATCCTCCACTGCCCTTCCCTTGCCCGTTGCGACCTCCATCCAGAAGAAGAACGCCAAGAAGGCCGAGCAGAAGAAGGCCCAGCGAGAAGCTGAGGAGGCGGATCGGTTGAAGAGGCTTGCTACGCACAAGAAGGACTTGGAGAGGTACGTGGCGCCTTCCGCATACTGACTCGATATGAGGCTGACGTACACTGCAGGCAGAGGATCAACGAGCTGTATTCCACCTCCAAGAAGTCTTCTGGGCGGGGAAGCCCCACGGTTGGTGCCACAGCATCTGTGACCGCGAACGGGAAGCTGGTCTGGGAGTAGAGGGCCGTGATGTAGAGTAGACCAGAAAAGGACTCGTGGCATGGCAAAGCGGTGTCGCGTGGCACTCCCTCGGCCGTTCGCTTCGAGTCTGTCAGTCACATACGAGGCTGGCAAGCTCAGCGCGACTACAACTCGTAGCTACCACGTAGAATAGAGCTTCTCTTCAGCAGCTGACAATGCCATGCATACACCCACGGTCACTTCACCAATCTCTGTATCGTTCAACGTCACGTCCGCGTGCCTACAGCCTGGCGCGCCTATGGAGGTGGAGGCTCGAGTCTTTGGGGTGGCCAGTCGCGGGTTGTCTTTGAGTCCTCTTCGGTCGTCTGGCAGCTTCTCTCCGTCTCTTCCTCCAGCATCACCTATTCGCCATGTCCTCAGAATCCACCGTCGTAAACGGAAACGGCATGGTGTACAATGGCGATGCTGAAAGCTCAAAAATGGCCGCCGAGTGAGTCCCATCGCCACTTGATATGCCTTCCTCGGCTTTCTCTTGCCACTTGATCTGACCACATCCCTCTCATCCTTGCGCTTGCGCGATACAGCGTCGATCCCGTCTTCCACGCTGTGAACTTGGCGCGGGGGATCTTCAACGTCGGGTACCTCAACCAGGAGTGGTCGGACGTACAGCTTACGTTCTTTGCGAGCGGGCTGAAGGCTCACCGTCGTGAGTTACTCATGCTGGGAGTTGCGCACTGGGCTGACGCTATAACGATTATGCCGTCTAGTCATCCTGGCTCGAAGTCCGTACCTCGCTCATCTCCTGTCAAGTGTGGCTCCTGGGTCTACTGTCCAGCTGGCATTCGTGGACAAGAACATCACTGAGGAGTCGGTACATATCACTCTTCAGCACCTCTACAGTGAGTCTCACCGCCTTCTCTCCCTCGTCAAGACAATTTCTCATGAACCCAACGCGTAGGCCCCTCCCTCCACCTTGTTCACCCCGGAAACGCTCGCTCGGTCCTCGCCACCGCTTACCTCTTCGGCGGCATGCCCGAGCTCGTGCACCACGCGTACTACGTCTCGCGCGATTCACTCGATGCGTCAAACGTCAATGACTTTGTCTACTGGCTCGGCGGGGCGGCGGAGGCAAGCAGCACGATGTTTGGGTCGGTCGCTGTGGCGAATGGGCAGGAGGCGGGGCAAAAGAATGGGGATGGGGATGTAGCGGCTTGGCTGGAGGAGGCGAACCCGTTGTACGGGGAGTGGACCGTGAGGCTGAAGCACGACGTGTGAGTCGTCTGTGATCTTCCCACGCCGTGTGTTGCTGACCAGACGCGATGTAGCCTCGACTACCTGCTTCGTGTCCTGCCTGAAAAGGTCGTAGAAGCCGGTTCCCTCTCCTCTCTCGAAAACCCCCTCCTCATCGCCTACGCCCACCTCCCCTACGCCCTCTTCAAATTCTGCGTTGAGTCCCCCAATGTCCCCATCCCCTCGCTCCAAGAACGTTTCGCGTTCGCCAAGCGCGTCATTGCCCAGCGCAAGAAGCTCGCGGCGGCTAGCCCCGGACCGCAGATGGAGGAGAGCGCCGTGCTGGCGTTCAGGGGAGGTGACGGGATGGAGGTCCATGTGACGAGGAGACCCAAGAAGGGGAGGCAGTACTTCAAGGTTGAGGGGTGAGATCTGAGTTGCCACGAGTATACTTATCTCATGGAGGAGCGGCGCTGCGGAGGGGGGAGCTCAACTTCACGATCGGACCCCAGCATTCTCACCTGTGTAGCATTTTCTCATGCATCGTTTTCATATCAGTGACATATATAACGGTCTCTCTATCTGCATCACTGGAAAGTCATCTCCAGGATCCGCTCGTAGTCCTCCACGACCGAGTCGTACGTCTTCGCCAACGCCTCCTTCCTCTCGTCCGAGGTCATCTGAGAAAGCATCTCCTGCTATGGGGTCAGCAATGTGCCGTGACCTTGACTGGCGCGTCCACTCACAAAGTTGAAGCGGTACAGCCTCGCCTTGACATGTAATCTATACGCCTTGACCTTCTCCGGGTTCTTCTTGTCCAGCTGTCGATACAACAGCATCTCCAGTACACGGTCAAACTGCCTCTGCGCAATCTTGTACTTCTTCCTGATCTCGTTCTCCCACTCGACCCTGGGCCCGCGCTTGCCCTCGCCCACGCCGACGAGGAACATGGGGTCGTCGGGGATGCCCTCCTTGACGAGGTAGCGCAGGTCGTTACGGTCTCGCAGGTCTTCGAAGGCCTCCGCGGGGTCTTCGACGGTGAGCTCGGCGACCTCGGGACGCGCGAGCATGTGTTGGAAGAGGGTGGCGTAGAGCTTGGCTGTTCGGTCAAGTCAGCCAACCGGCATTCGAAGTATCTGGCGACTTATCCACTCACAGCCGTGCCCCTGCTGCTGATAAGGCGGGAGGATGACAAACTGGCTCAGACGGAGCCTCACCCTGTCGGGGAAGCACCAGAACGGGTAGACGGAGACATATCCGACAAAGTGGTAGGTGAAGATGTCCGAAGAAGGGCGTTTTCGGCGTTCGAAGAGGGTGATGAACTCCCAAGCATCCTCGTCCTCCTGTTGTCCGTTGTCAGCGGGTCATCCTAGATGAAAGCACAAAGAGATACCCAATACGCACGTGCACATAGCTCCCGCCCTCGATGAAGAGGAGGATGAAGAGCTGCATCCTGCGGTGGTATTCTCGGAAGCCGGGGGTACTCCAAGTCGCCTGCGCGGCCGAGTGGTGTCAGCATAGAAACTTAAGGGCGCTCTGCATGTCCTTTTACGATGGACTTACCTTGTACATCTCGAACACCACCGCATCCTCGCTGTCCTCGTCCAAAGCGGCATCCGCAGACGCGTTCCCCTTGCCCTTCCCTTTCCCCTTCCCCTTGCTCCTCACCGCCGGCTTTGCATAACTCCCCACCTTCTCCCCCAGAGGCTTAAACTTCTCCGCATCCTCCGCCACCGTCATCTTGAACTCCAACGCGGACTTGGTGTAGTCCGGGGGGATGAACTTGTAGAGCGTGCTCTCGATCTCGTCAGGGGGGGTCGCGGTGGAAGAGAGCTTGTCGTCGTACGTGATATCGAGGCATTGCTTGAGACTGCCCGAGGCGAAGCGAAGCTACAGGTCGAGAGTCAGCAGCTGCGCAGGATACACGAGACGGACGTGCTGCCGGGAGAGCTGCCCACCTTGATGTCGAGGCCCTTGTACCCAAAGATCTTCTCGTGCTCGCCAAAGATGGGGTACGTGAACGCAGGGTTGAAGGGCTCGATCGCCTGCTCCTCCTCGAGCATAAGGACATCCTCGTCGTCCGGTGTGCGAGCTTTAACAGACAGGGACAAAGAAGTCAGCCATGCACTATGGACGCGATCCACCGCACAGCTGGATTGTCCTTGGGCCTCGCCAATCCAACAACGCGAAGCCAGAGTAACACTCACTGAGCTGGAGGTTCAAAGCCTCGTTAGAGTCCGTGACCCATTCTTCCAACGCGTTCGACATGTTGTGGGCCTTTGGGCAGATAGATGGTACAATATGAATATGGTTTTAGATGGAAAGATGGATACAATAATGTTCGCGTGTCTGAGTTGATCTCACGTCGCACGCGGACGCGTTTTCTGCGCGCCGGTTGAACCCTGTGGGCTGTGGGCCTGTGGCACCCCTTTGGCTTTCCACCACGCCGTATGCACTCGTACACCCGTGTTGTGCCGTCCCTACCAGTCTGAACAAAGGCAGTGTGAAGTGCATGGTGCAGGTCATACATCCTTATGCTTCATACAAAGTACTTTACAGGGGAGGGGGCAAGATCCAAAAAGCAAAAGTAAAAAGTATCAGGTCTCGTCCCGGGATTGAACCGAGGACCACCCCCAAAGCTCTCCGAAGAAAACCCTAAGGGGGCATGCTACCACTGCACCAACGAAACGGCTAAAGCCACCGTGACCGATTGATGTTTCAGAACATTTTGTACAGCCTATAATGTGTGATCATCGTCAACTTGCCGATCAAGCATCTTGAGTGTCCTCCAATATCCACGAGTTATGCATGTGCGTGTCATATATACGTCTCCAGGCTTGGCTTGTAACGATTTGCTGCGGTAGCCTCGGCATTAGGGTGTTGTTGCAGCTGAACAGCTGAGACCAGAGGTGTGTGCGGCGTGTGAGCTTTGTTCGAACAGAAGGAGGAGGTTGAATGATATGGGCGGGCATTTGGCTCCTCGAACATTACGCTACTGGCAAGGGGCAACGTCCTTGTACTTACTTGCTCGGCGTAGGTGGTAAGTAAGGCTGTATATTCATGGCTGTGCTTAGAATTGGCGACCACTACCCATGTCATTTGGGTTTCATCCATGAAGACCATCGTTGAGAGGCTGCCACTTGACACTGCTAGAGCTCATCGGTGATTGCCAATTGGTGCGCCGAAGCGATCTGGCGTGTAAAGAGCGATGAATTTCCATCTTACGGCTCTCACCTTGCCAATGACGTTAATGCTCACAATCTAACATTATGTGAAACTCGCGCCATCCTAGTAGATTTACAGTCTAACACCGCCATCGGAAGACACCTGTTGGGATGCTGCTGACCTGACCGGTAGAAAAGGCGATTAGGATGTTGTGAATGTACGACGTCGGCCCTGCGGACTTGCGAACGGAGAAGAATACTTGGTTCAATGATGGACAGCTGCCCGGGGTAGGTCATACTCACAAACAGTTGCACTTGATGTTGACTGACAAATGACATGCAAAATGCACTCTGGAATGCACACTACGTCGGCTCTGGTGTTCTTATGTGGCGCAGTAGTGTCGATTATGTGGTAAAGAACCACAGTGGCACACTGCTCACGTGGACCGGAGCCCTCGTGCCATCGCGTGGTTTGGCTCGCAGAGTTCTCAGCAACATCGTACTCATCCCCATCAGTATAAATGCACAATTGGCGGAGTAGCCCCCCGTAGGTGATCAATAACATTGAGCGAACGGTGAAATAGTGTGCAATGGCAGATCAGCATCATCGGCCTGAGCTCCCCTACGATCGGCTATCCCGCAAGCTCACCAGACGAATAGATGGCGTTAGGAAAGGGCGATGGGGGGAGATACTGTACGAGCTATAAGAACGCCGCGAGCACCTCTGATCTTCCGGCGGCAAGAGGGTCGGGCAAGACCTGAGTGGACGGTGAAGAGACAAGTGCACTGGGGTGTCTGGTGAGGCACTCGGCGTACCAGGTGATAGCCGGGGTCATGGTGACGACTCGGGACGGTATCGTGGGGTCGAGTCAGCAGATAGGCAGAATAAGCTCAAATGGGCCACGGAGAAACAGGACTCGGGAAAGGAATATGCCAGCGACGTGGTGTAAAATACCATAAATCTCCATAACTGTGACGCCGAAGTGGACACGCGGGCAAGCAAGCGCAGATCAGTAAGCAGCAGTCAGTGGTGCAGAGGGATCATATCACATTTCGTTACAAGCCCAATCGAAAGTCTACCCATCTCAATCCCCCCGCCCATGCACAAACGTCAAACACGCTCCACTCATGTATTAGACCGCCGCGACGATCGCCTCCGCCGAATTGAGCGCGCCAACCATCTTGACGCACTCCCTCCTTCTCGCCACAATGTCCGGCGACTCCTTCAGCAGCTCATCGAGGACCTCGGGCTTGTAGAGGTGCTCGAGGAGTTCTCGCTGGAGGTTCTCCTTCGCGAAGTTCACGAGGTTGAACGTGATGGCCTTGGGGACCATGTCGATCATCTCTCGCTTGACAACGGAGTAGTACGACTGGATGAGGAGCTCTGCGCGATAGATGATGAGCGAATGTCCAGTCGAACGGCTAGTCACACTCACTGATCACGTCCGTCTCCATCAACTCCCTCTCGTTCAACGACGCCACCGGCTTGATGACGGCAGGCGGAGCCTCCATGGCCGCCACACCCCTCTTCTTTGGAGCCTTGTCCTTGGAGAAGAAACTGCCGAAGAAGCTCCCCTCGTCCCGCTTGTAGTCGGCATCAAGGTCCTTGCCGTTGTTGAGGGCATTGGGAGGAAGCTTCTTGGGGTCGACGGGCTTCTCTGGGGGCTTGTTGGCGTTCATGCGATCAGTCACCAGCGCCATGGCCTTGTGACCACCGATGAAGTCCGGGTGGGTGGTGTTGACGTAGCAGGCCTGCATGGCGACCATGTCGCTAACTAGCTTGTTGGTGGGAGTCATGCAGTTCTTGAAGAAGCTGATAACGACGAGGTTGAAACGGTCCTTGAGCTCGGGGTACCGTTTGAAGGTTTGCTGTGGTGGCGTCAGTTACCAGCGCTGATCGGTCCTCACACTGTCGACTCACGGTCTTGCCCAGAAGGTGGCCCAGGATACGGATAAGCTCGTCGTAGACAAGCGCACAGCACCTCAGAGAAGGCTCCTCCAGTCTCCGGATCTGCTGCTTGACGATGACCTCAAAGGCCGTCGTCCCGACGAACAGCGACGGCGTCGAACCCGACGAGTTGTACAGGATGGTTCGGATGTCTCCGTCCTTTACCTGGTCAAACGGGTCGATGCTCTTGACACCGTTGTTGTACAACTCGTGGAAGACGAAGCTGATACGGGCACCGCCAGACAGCTCGTTCAGAGACAAGTCGTTGGTGTTACCGTCGATCGCCGACCGGAACTCGGAGCAGAACTCGGTGATGGTGGAAAGCACGAGACTGCCGGGGTTGGTCTCACCCAGAGGGCCACCGAGCGCCTGCAGCTCAGCCTGGTACTTGGCGAGCTGCTGGCTGATACGAGCTTTGATGTCCGGGAGGGTGTTGCGAATGTGGTGCATGAGGATCTGATGGTCAGCTCCAGTCGCTCGCAGAATTGACTCACGATGTTGAGCTTCCTCGCCAGCCACGGGGTACCACAGTACTGAGCCTTCCCGGCATAGCTCGGGTGTCCCTCGAAGAACCTCTTCTCGTTGTCCAGCGCCGACACGATCGACTTGGACTGGTCAATGTCCCTTTGGCCACGGTTGACCACAGGGACATAACCAAGCCTCAGGGGGATGACCCGTCCGGCCAAAATGTCCACCACGTCCGTCCCCTGGTCCATCAAGTCCACCTTCGTCAAAACACCGATCGTCCTGCTGCCCTCCGGGTCGACCTCGCGGGCAAGCTTCAATCCGTCTGAGTTGGCCAAGTCGGTGTTGGCAGCGGTGACGGCGAGGATGATAGCGTTGGGCTTGGAGATGAAGCGCATGAGCATGTCCCTGATCTGCTTCTCGATGTCTCGAGGCTGATCACCGACGGGGACCTTGGTGAGACCGGGAAGGTCAACCAAGGTGAGGGTGAGGACGTTGGGGGAGAAGATTCGAAGGTTGATGGGGTTGGGGGAGATACCTGTATCGAATATCAGCCAGCGTCAGTGGAGCAGAACAGATAACATACCAGCATTCTTCCCGGTGGCCTTCTCCGTCTCCCTCACGATCTCCTCGCGGACTTTGGAGAAGTCGTGGAACTTCTGCCCAGGAAGGTGCAAGAACTCTCCCCACTCATCGGGGTTGTTCTCGTTGAGCTGCACCTTCGCCATGGCATCCTCCGGCTTCTCCTTCTCATCGCCACCGTTCGCCTTGCTAGTTGCCGGGCGGTTGATAAGTTGGAGGACCTGTAGAGCATAGTCAGTATGGAGGGAAGGAGAGGCCGAGTAGACGGACGACTGACCAAAGGCCGTCGGGTCACGATACCAGTACCTCGAGGCAGGAAGTCTCGGCCCACAATGTTCTATGGAGCATGTCAGCAGCTTCCATATAGGCGAGACGATCAGACACACCTCGAGGACCGAAGACTTTCCACTACTCTGAGACCCAATGACTGTGATTTGGGGCAGGTCCTGTGACGCGTCAGTCGGTGGTTGCAGGCAGGCAGCAAGCTGTCAGAACAGCTCACAATGTTGTTGGAGACGCCGATAGAAGCGAACACATCTTGCAGCTGAACGGACTGTTAGCAGTTGACCAAAGATAAGTGCAGATGTGACTCGCCTTGTTCACGAGGTTGATGAGTTGCTGGTCCATGGTGAGAGATGCTATCGGTTGTTCAGGCGGTGATAGAGGGGCGTGTGTGGCGGGGGTGTTGGCCGAGTGCTGATGATATCCGAGCACAATGGAGGTGCAGGGACTATGGGAGGAGAGTGGGGAAGTGGGGTGAAAGTAGATGGATGAAATGGATGGATGGACGAAGAATGGCTGTGCAGCAAGAGGCGAGCTGGAATCGCCTCGACAGCGAATGCAAGCTGGATGACACGCCACCGCGGCACGGGCGCGATGACGGAATTACCAGAAGTGGCAGTTATCTGAAGTCCATCTCTTCAATCCCTTCAACGCATGCATGCTTGCCACCATCGAAGCATCTATACAGCATACCATTGATGATAATAATGGAAGAATTATAGTGCAAGAGTAAGTACTGCCAGAGACGCATGTGAACCAAGCGGAGCGCATACTACACCTCCAGAGATCTTCCAGAGAGGGCCCCCGGCCTACTTTAAGAGGAACCCGTTCAAGTTCCCTGATAGAAGAGCCTTCTTATGTCGAAGGGAAGGTGTTCTCCGGGAAAATGTCATGGCAAATTCTATAGAACCCTTCGGTACAGAGCCTGAACACCTGTGAAGAGCGATTCACAAAGCCGCTTATTACCAAAAGATGATGGACATGCAAATGCAAGCTCAAACATCAAAGGTCACGGTGGCTTTAGCCGTTTCGTTGGTGCAGTGGTAGCATGCCCCCTTAGGGTTTTCTTCGGAGAGCTTTGGGGGTGGTCCTCGGTTCAATCCCGGGACGAGACCTGGTAACTTTTTGCGTTTCTTCTTTCCTTCTTTCACAGGGGCTTTCACGCCTCGCGTACCTACCGGCTCTGATTCTTTTCCAAACATCAAATCGGTCGTCGGTGGCTTTGGCCGTTTCGTTGGTGCAGTGGTA